CAGCCCTCGATTCTACGGCTGTATTTCGTTCATTTTTTCCTCGACTTTCGACGTTTATATTAATAAATGTGAACAGAATCTCGTTCGATTTTGACCAGAGCGCACTGCATTGGACCTTCCTCTTTCGAATGAGACCTCATCCGACCCAAAAGCTGCTCATATAAGGGCAAAATCTCTTATTTCGACATAATTGAGTACATCGAAATCGACAGTAATGACGGCGAACTTCCTTAGCGTCTAACGTAGTGAAATAAAGAACGCTAGTGTGAGCCTTTCCTTCTTGCTCTTGTAAAAGAGAAACAACTGAAATACGACCTCGCGATAAGCGGCATACGATTCCAAGCCTCGACTGCCCCAGCATTTTTACTTTCCGACCTATGTAAGGTACAATAAGGAAATTTATGAAGTATCATAATGTAAAAAAAATGTCGAAATTTTTTTTTAGCGGAAATACACGTTTTAGGACCCCCTGATCATATTGTGACTATTAAAAAAAAAGACTTTTTTTTTTGTTCCTATTACATATAAACGGCTGAATGAATTTCAATGAAACTTTACATTTCAGTTTTATGTTCTCGTTTCAAGGTCTGATTAGATTTTGAGCGTGATCAGCCCCCGGATAATGATGATTATACGACTTTTAGTTTTATAATTATTTCGATACATATACATTATTTGTAACAAATTTTGGCAATTATTTAGAAAAGGGGGAGGTCTCACCGATTTTGATGATTTTTGAATATGTTGTAAAAATCAACATTTTGAACAACTTTTTCCTATACATATAACCACCGCTGGCCTTATTTTTCGAGATTTTTTTTCAAAAAGATTGCTGCTACTGCAATGAATTTTGTCTATATGTACATGTCCGTGACTCTGTATGCGTCAGTCCACGACTTTTTTCCTCGACTTTCGACGTTTATATTAATAAATGTGAACAGAATCTCGTTCGATTTTGACCAGAGCGCACTGCATTGGACCTTCCTCTTTCGAATGAGACCTCATTCGACCGAAAAGCTGCTCATATAAGGACAAAATTTCTTGTTTCGAGAACCCATATTTCGGGCCGAATTGTGTCGGTATACCGCACGCTGCATTGCTCGTGCCTACCTCCTTCGGTGTCTTTCAATCGTCGATTCATTTTTGCTCATTTATTATTTACAGTAAATCCAACACATACTCTCCCACGAAGCGTGTATATAAATGAAGAAGACTTTCGCGGCAATATTTTATTTTAATCAACATGCAACCCCACTCTAAAATCTTCCACAATAATGTTTCCAAAAAAACTTGATTACTATGCATTCATTTGAAAATTTTACTGTACAAAATAAAGTAACATTTATTTTCGTGAATAATGTAGGGTATGAAATTGTAGACAATAATGTAGCGAAAGGCTGCAATACATACTTTGAATATTCGCTCAAGTAGAGAGGTAACGCGTGCGCGCTCTAGCCGGATTGGAAACATTTGAAAACCTGGAAAGTATTGTCAGACTCCAAACTCGCAAAACTATTGGCCGATTCAAAACTTGATCGATTCCGAGATCCATATGGAATCGATAACTTTCTGTAGTAATTTGTGCTTGACGATTATTAAATATTAAATGTGGGTAATTATTTAGATTACGGACGGTAACACCGATTTCGGTGATTTTTGAATATGTTATAGAAATCAACATTTTGAACAACTTTTTCCTATACATATAACCGCCGCTCAGCCTTAGTTTCAGAGATTTCTCTTCAAAAAGATCGCTGCTACTACATACAATGAATTCTATCTATACGTAAGTACATGCTGTGGCAGCGTGTGTGTAAGCGTTCAATCGCCGATTGTTCATTGTTTCTATAGATGCATCGAGGCGGCCGACAATGGGTGTGCCTAACGGCAGCCGGCATAAAAACATCTAACCCTTATAAACCTAATTATTCTACCTAGTAACTAATATAATGGATTAGGTCTGGGTTAGATTTTCTTATACCGGCCGCCGTAAGGCGGTCGGCCACGTATTCATTTTCTATTTCAATTTTCTCTATTGATATTATCAGAAGTGGGAAACATTTCATTATTCGATCATTAAAATCATATTGTCGATGGAAGAAGAATTCAGCTAAATAGCCTACATAATGTATTTGGCGAGTTCCATACTTCGGAATATTCGAACCATTGACAGCAATACAGAACTAGATTTAGCTTCACACATTGTGCATTATTTCTTGTCACAAACAAGAGAAAAAATCGGCGATCGTGGACTGACGCATACAGAGTCACGGACATGTACATATAGACAAAATTCATTGCAGTAGCAGCAATCTTTTTGAAGAAAAATCTCGAAAAATAAGGCCAAGCGGTGGTTATATGTATAGGAAAAAGTTGTTCAAAATGTTGATTTTTACAACATATTCAAAAATCATCAAAATCGGTGAGACCTCCCCCTTGTCTAAATAATCCCAAAATTTGTTACAAATAATGTATATGTATCGAAATAATTATAAAACTAAAAGTCGTATAATCATCATTATCCGGGGGCTGATCACGCTCAAAATCTAATCAGACCTTGAAACGAGAACATAAAACTGAAATGTAAAGTTTCATTGAAATTCATTCAGCCGTTTATATGTAATAGGAACAAAAAAAAAGTCTTTTTTTTTAATAGTCACAATATGATCAGGGGGTCCTAAAACGTGTATTTCCGCTAAAAAAAATTTCGACATTTTTTTTACATTATGATACTTCATAAATTTCCTTATGTACCTTACATAGGTCGGAAAGTAAAAATGCTGGGGCAGTCGAGGCTTGGAATCGTATGCCGCTTATCGCGAGGTCGTGTTTCAGTTGTTTCTCTTTTACAAGAGCAAGAAGGAAAGGCTCACACTAGCGTTCTTTATTTCACTACGTTAGACGCTAAGGAAGTTCGCCGTCATTACTGTCGATTTCGATGTACTCAATTATGTCGAAATAAGAGATTTTGCCCTTATATGAGCAGCTTTTGGGTCGGATGAGGTCTCATTCGAAAGAGGAAGGTCCAATGCAGTGCGCTCTGGTCAAAATCGAACGAGATTCTGTTCACATTTATTAATATAAACGTCGAAAGTCGAGGAAAAAATGAACGAAATACAGCCGCAGAATCGAGGTATGGGTTAGGGTACTAAAAGAGTTGTACGATTCCAATACTGAATCACCTGCATAGATCCCGCTTCGTGGGAGACTCTATGTTGGATTTATTGTTAATAATAAATGAGCAAAAATGAATCGACGATTGAAAGACACCGAAGGAGGTAGGCACGAGCAATGCAGCGCGCGGTATACCGACACAATTCGGCCCGAAATATGGGTTTTCGAAACAAGAAATTTTGTCCTTATATGAGCAGCTTTTCGGTCGGATGAAGTCTCATTCGAAAGAGGAAGGTCCAATGCAGTGCGCTCTGGTCAAAATCGGACGTGATTCTGTTCACATTTATTAATATAAACGTCGAAAGTCGAGGAAAAAATGAACGAAATACAGCCGCAGAATCGAAGTATGGATTAGGTTGTCAGCATCTGGCTTTCTCGCGGGGGCCTATGTATCGAAGCTAACGCTTCACTTTGGTATGGTTTCACCTTCACAGCCCTCTTGATTAGGCGCCATCTCGTAGCGACTGCCTGAACTAAATTTGTCACGTGACTTGCTCTGCTATTACCCATCTAATGGCGGAACTCGCTTGTGGGAATGCAATTCCGAAATAAGAGATTTTGTCCTTATATGAGCAGCTTTTGGGTCGGATGACGTCTCATACGAAAGAGGAAGGTCCAATGCAGCGCGCTCTGGTCAGTATTGGAATCGTACAACTCTTTTAGTAACCTAAAAAGACCTCGATTCTGTGGCTGTATTTCATTCATTTTTTTCTCGACTTTCGACGTTGATATTAATAAATATGAACACAATCTCGTTCGATTCTGACCAGAGCGCACTGCATTGGACCTTCCTCTTTCGAATGAGACCTCATTCGACCCAAAAGCTGCTCATATAAGGGCAAAATCTCTTATTTCGAAACCCCCTATTTCGGGCCAAATTGTGTCGGTTTACAACGCGCTGCATTACCCGTGCCTACCCCCTTAACCTAACTTATCCTACTCTTACACTACCACTCCGCACGCTTTTCCCCCTCTCTCTCATTCCGCACGCCGCACGCTCTTAGCCTACTTAGCCTACTTAGCCTACTAGCCTACTCTTACGCTACTCGCTCTCTCTCTCTCTCCCTCCTCAATTCTCCCCTACTCCTCTACTTCCGCTCGCTCTCCCCGCCTTCGACTTCCATTTCCACCCTTACACTCCATTGCTTCTTTCACTCCCTCCTTCCTTTTACCTCCCTCCTTCACGCCCCCTTCCCCCCTTTCCACCTCTTTCTCTCTCCTCCTACCCTCCAGCCTCTTTATCCACCCCTCCCCTCCCCCTCCCTCGTCTAAAATCTCACTTATCTTTTCCCCGATCCCCTTCCCCTCTGCCTCATCCCCTGTACATCTCTCCAAGACGTGCTCCCACGTCTCCTCCTCCCCTCCACATACCCTGCACTTCCTCTCTTCCTCATCCCCCCAGTATCTCCCCCCCCCTCATTTCGTTCCCCATCCTATACCTAGCAAGTCTCCCATACCTCCCCTCTCCCCACCCTGTCCCCAGGTACCTCGGTAACTCCTGTACCATCTATTGTACCTCGACTGCACAATTTTTCCCCATCTCTCCTCTTCCTGCCTCCTACCATCTTCCTCCTCCCATCCCTCCCAGCCCCCTCGCCCCTTGCCCCTTCCCCTCCTTCCCTCACCCCTCCCAACCCTCTACACCCCAACCTGTCTCCCTCCCATGCCGACAATTCCTCTCCCCCTTCCCTTTCCCTTTCCCTTATCTCTTCCAGGCACCACCTAGCCAACTCCCCTCCCTCTCCCCTACTCAGTTTCTCCTCGTATCTCCCTGCCCTTCCTCCCGCCCACGTCCTCAACTTTTTCCTCTTCGTCTCCTCCCTTACCATATACCCTGGCGTCCTCCAGTCCACCCCCAATGACCACCTTAAAAACCTCTCCTGCATCCTCTCCATTTCTTCCCTCTCTCTCCACCCCCAAATCTCTGCCCCATATCCCGCCACCGTCCAGACCAACGCGTCGAACAGCCACATTCTCTTTCCCCAGTCCCTCTCAAACTTCCTTTTCCCGATTCCCCATGCCTGTCTCATTACCACCCCCGCCTTTCTCACCCTATCCCTAACCTGCGCTTCCTGTCCCCCGTTCCTCTTGAACACGTACCCCAGGTACTTAAACTCCTTCACCTCCTCTATCCTTTTCCCCTTCCACCTCCACTCCACCTTTCTTTCCCTTCCTCCACCCTTCCTAAACCTTACAACCTTCGTTTTCTCCACATTCACCTCCAACCTCTTTCCTTCCAGATACCCTTCGAACCGCCTAATCATACTCCCCATCTCTTCCTCGTCCTTCGCCACCATTACCAGGTCGTCAGCATACGCCAACGTACATACTCTCCTCCCCCCTACCTCCACCCCTCCCCATCTTCCTTTCCTCATCTCCTCTTCCACATCCGCTATCAACAGATTGAAGAGCGTCGGACTCAGGGGGCACCTTTGCCTCAACCCCTTCGCCGTCCAAAAACCCTCCCCTACCTCCCCCCACCTTCACCCTGCTCTTCGTCACCATATAAATTTCCCTTACCCTCTCCCTCAACCCCTCCCTCGCCCCTCTCCACTCCATCGCCTCCCGCAGAGTCCTCCTGTCCACCGTGTCAAACGCCGCCCGCAGATCAACGAACAGCGCCACCAACTTCCCCCCCCTCTTCACGACCTGCCCGCCAATCAAAAAATTCAGCACATATATATGGTCCACCGTACTCCTCCCTCTCCTGAACACCGCCTGATTCTCCGGGATCATCCCCCCCCCCTCCACCTCCCGCTCCAACCTCCCCAACAGGACCGCCGCATATACCTTATATAAGGTCGGCATTAGCGTCACCCCCCTGTATTCCTGCTCCCTCTTCCCGCCCCCTTTCTTCGCCAGCGGCACGATAATCCCTTCCTTCCACCCCTGCGGCCACCCCTCCCCGTCCCACACTCTCCTACAGACCTCCCACGCCAACTCTAAACCCCTCTCTCCCCCGTACTTCCATGCCTCATTCGGGATCTCGTCCCATCCCATTGCCTTCCCTTCCTTCAACCTTCTCACCACCCTCTTCACTTCCTCTTTACTTATACCCTCTTCCTCCCCCCTTCTCCTGCCCTCCTCTCCCCCTATCCTTACCCTATTTTCCACACCTCCCAGCAGCCCCATAAAATGTTCCTTCCATTCCTCCTTCTTTATACTTTCGTCCACCCCTTTCCTTTTCTTCCTACCCCTATTCACTATTTCCCACACCCTATTTTCCGTTTTTGCCTCTGCCACCTCCCTTACCAGGTCTCCCACTCCTCCTCCTTCTTCCTATCGCAAAGCTCCTTATACTCCCCCCTCCTTTTCTTGTAGTCCTCCCTACTCCCTCGCCGCCCACCACCTCCGTAGCTCTCTTCTCAACTCCCTCTTCTTCTCCCTACATTCTCCATCCCACCCCCCGCCTCCATCACCTTTAGTCTCCCCTCTACTTTCCTTATCCATTCCTCCTTCAGTACCGCCTCCCCCATCTTTTCCTCCAACCTTGCCATTCTATCCTCTATCTCCTCCCTCTCCCTTCTCCACCTCTCCTCCCATTCCTCCATCTTCCCTCTGACCTTTCCCAACTCCTCCTGTGCTTCCCTAACCTGCTTCCTCACCTCCCCTAAGTCCTTCCTCATTTCCTCCCTCAATTCTCTGATCAAACTCTCCAGCGCTCCGTCCTCCCCCGCCCCATTCCTCACTGGCGACCTCAACACCTTCCTACTCTTCATGAACGCCCCGCTCCCCCTCCTTCTCTCTTCTCCTCTTCCACATCTCCGCTAACTCCAGTCTGCTTCCTCCACTCAGACTCCTTTCTCACCCCTGCTTCTCCGCGTTCGTGCTTCTGCCTCCCTCCCCGTCTCCCCTATCACCCTGTCCTCACCCTTTTCCTCTACCTTTCCACCCTTTCTCCTTCCCGCCATTTCTTCCTCACCCTCCTATCTACCCTCAAACGCACCTTTCCCTTCCTTACCTCCCGCTCCTAGCTTCCTTTCTCTCCCAGCCGCCCGATGTCGCCACCTACCTCTATCTCTCAGCGCTTTACCGCCTATCCTTCTCCCGCTCTACTCTCTCTCTCCTTGCCTTAACCTCAAATTGCTCGCTCCCTGCCTGCCTTTCCCTCTTTCCCACCCAGCCCTTTTCCTCACCCTTTCTCACCCTTCACAACCTGCTCACCCCCGACCACCGCTCACCCTTTCCACACCCTACTCTGCTTGCTAACCCCTTTTTTTCACCTCTTTCACTCGCACCGTTCACTCAACCGTCTCTACACTTTCACACCGGAAATGGAAGTCCTAATAATTTTACTAATTTCATTATAACTTTTTTGTTTTTATAGTGATAAATAACTAATTCACGCTCCGCTAATGTAGTTTGTCGCATTTTAAGTCTTTTTCATTGATATTTTGGCAGAACAATGCATATAACAATCAGAATGCTGCTAAATCAGCTACATTCAATCGTTGTTAAGCATTATTATACAACCAACAATTGGGGATTCACCGGATTTTCAATGTTACCAACACTGTACGATTTTTACTGACAGCTAAGTTTCATACGCAGCCTCAAATTTTATTTAATTTACTGAGTACTATTAAAGGTTTTTTTGTATTGTTGTTATGTATCAAATAAAGAAATATTCACTATATACCTCTATACGTATTTCAATAATTTTGTACAATTTTCATGTTTTATTGAAAAAATATCGGCTGAATCGCTAGGTGTACGATTTTAAGTAACAGTCACTGTATATTCGCCACTGTACATAACAGGTTAAAAAAATTAAGATTTATAGAATCAACTATCCACCACAATTTTTCCTTCCAAGTTTCACAAGTTTGATCATGCCTTTATATTTTATTCGTAAACGTTTTGCTTTAATTATAGTTCTAATGGATCTTGCCATACTTTCTAGTAATTTTGTACGGAAATCTTGCGACATTTGATTCCGCTTTTACCATGTGTTTGATGTTTCGATCATGTTGAAAAATAGTTTCCCTTTCTGCAAACGACATAACATAATTCCACTAATTTTAATTTTATTGGACTGTATAATATGTCACACCCTCCTAACATAAAGGACCCAACACCATGTTCTAAAGTTTGTTTTAACGTGACAGGGACGAGGAGTATCCATACTCAAAAACATCCATCAGATAATATTTTGTTAATTTTTTTTTCATCGGATCAGGTTATACGTTTCCAATCAGAAACGGACCATTCTTTATATTTTTAGCGAATCTTTGACATTTATCGGGTTTTTCTTCTCGCAAGCATTGAAATGAACTTTCTTCTAACTGTTCATTTACTAACTTTGATTCCTCTGTTTCCTGATAACAGTTTAGTAACTATATTTGCCGATGCTGCCTCATAACATGTAATATAACGAATAATTCTTTGTTCGTCTTGTCATGTTAGAGCTCTTGGCTGCTCTCCCATTGATGTTACCCATCTGCACAATTTTTTCTATGTAATCATAGAACAGTAGACTGACTTACGAAACAAGTTTTTGTTATTTTACGCGTTGAAGGTCCATCTCGCAGCAGAGAAATTGTTTTTGTTCAAGTAATACGCGAATTCGTCATCATTGTAACTAATATTTCGTATAACGTCTACACAACTCGAGTAACACTTGTAAACTGATTGTGAATCTGGTAGGGTGAGAGAACTCTTCGATGTAAACAAATAACCATCGTATGTAAACATTTCGCTATTGTATACAAGGTCATTATAATTTGCTTTGTGGCTTGGTCTGTAAGGTGCAAAACTGATTTTATGAATTTTTATTCTTGCAGTCAAGAAACAACATATTTGAAATAGTAAAAAATAGTGTAAGTTTTCTGAGATAATGACGAAACACTTATCACCATTTATTTTCATTTTATGTTTTATTTGACAATGAAAAGTATTCTGTATGAAAATTTTTGTGATTAGTTCAGCCTTGTTCTTTACTATAAGTGGGATCAATAAGAAATAAACAATTATATTCTATATATTTCGATTCGCTTTCACGTGTCGAACGATCACGTTGCTACTCGTTGTTAACTCAGACATCCTATTCACCGTGTTCCATGCAACTTGGCCCAGCCATAACTTTTAAACGATAAAAGATAAGACAAAATTTCATCAGGTAAACTTAAATGATTTTCGACGTTGCATGATCTAGTGTATGTAACTTTAATATTTACAATTAATATAAAACGACTATTTTATAATATCTCATATTAAATATTCATACTAGAATGAATACAGTTGAAAATTTGTGTTTACTGAAAAGAGGATGTTAAAAAATGCTCATTTTTGGTATCGCCTGGAAATGAAAAATTCATGTGGGACCTTTCAGAGTTTCTTTCAATGAATAAAAAAGGTCCTTAACACTTTTCCAAAAAATGACGGGAAAGTTGTTAAAAATGAGTTCAAAATATAAACGTGATGATGATCGAATTCAGCTATATTTTGTTTCATCATCTTTTTTTCAGACGACATGAGGTTGAAATCGAGCAATCATAAAGTACCAATGTTATTGCTATATGAGAACAATACGTAACAATGTGTTTTCCGACGCGTTCATATGATCGAGCAAGTATGACTTCCAATTCGGTTTTACTTTTCTTAATTAATACATATATAAAGTATTTAAAACTATCTGAATGTCATGAATGTAGTTTCGCGTGTAGTAAAAGTTGTAATTGTCTAGTTATTGTAAAACTACAATAATATTTCTTTACTTTAATTTTTCACAAGTTGTCATTGCTTTAAAAATATATAAATATATGTATTTTATGTAATTTTAACCATTTTCGGAAAGAATAGTAATTTAAATTTTGAAAGAAAGAAAAGTTAGTGTTATTCCCATGAATATTATAGCAAGGATCATATGGTACTTCAGGTTTGTTCGCTTTTAATCTTCAGTTTACCTCCCTGTTGATTTATTCATCAACTATTTTGTAGATGGTTTAATGAGATGATGCAACATAAAGATAAGTTTGATCCAATCACTATCATATTTACGTTTTGAACTCAGTTTTAATAAGTTTTGCATTGTTTTTTTGGTAAGTACCAACGACATTTTTTATTCTCTGGGCAATACTCTGAAAAATGCTGCATGAATATTTCATTTTTAGACACTGACAAAAATGTTCATTTTTTAAAATTCTTCTTTATCTTTCAATTTATATCTTGTTATTAGCATTTATCAATAGTCATATTGTATAATTTTTGTTTAACATCAAACATAATTTTGGTTATAAAGGATTAATCTAACTGGAGTTTTTTTTTATGTATTATTGAATGCATCTCTTTATTCTTTCTAAAAAGATACAATACAAGGACATTTAGATTTAAAATTAATTACTTTAGAAGATATTTTTACTTCAATTTGTCATTATTCTACTATGCATAGCCCTTACTTTACATTTTTATTTGTTTATTGATTCTTTACTGTTAAAGTATTTTTGGAACTAAATATTTTTCTATAAAAGTACCTTAATACTTGTTTGTAATATTAAAATGCGTATCAATTGACGTATAAAAAAATTAATAGTTTTGTTGAAAAAAATAGATTTGACTACTTTCAGAGTAAACACATACACCGGATCATGCACCATCCAGTACCATTCAAGTTATTTATACTAATGACATTTTTTTCTACCTTGCACATTATATTTCGAACATTTTATGCTGCGTATTACGACATGTTAAATATGTGTAATATATTGATGTTATTTAAATAACATTTGCAAAATATTGGTTACATATATTTTTATTCAACTTTAAAACACAATGGTACGAAGTTAATAAAAGATAATACCTTCGTTGGATTTATGATCTATTAGAACATTTACATATCGCTGAGCTATATTCAGAGCATTGTTATTTCATAGCAATTTATGCTATTGGTCGCTCTAGGTTAGCTACGCCGAGGTTAGATGTTTCGGAAGATTCGCCCCGATCTATCATGCGATCGTCGACAGAGTGATTCTATAAATGCCATCTAATGTTTCGACTAGGCGACAACTAAAAGTTTGCCAAGATAGAGAAGGGGTTGCATTTGACGTGCCGTATTCTCCTCAAATGGCAGAAATGAGTATCTCCCGGTTTACGTAAGTGAAATTATGTTATTGTTGTTCATATACATTGATGGATTAAATTATAAACTACCCTCAAAATGGCTGGCATAACGGTTTAAACTAAACGAATGTTACAACAAATTTTCTATTTAGACCAGAATAATACAATTTCACTTGGACAAAATTATGACACTATCTTTCAAAATGAAAAAAATGTATATAATTAAACAAAATTGTCACATTTTTTCTTACGTTGATAATGGGTAGGCTTGTCTTTATTTTGTATCACATCGAGCATTTAATTGGGCAAACTTTTGTGCCACCTTCGTATAGCTTCCTACAAAATTACCTCCATATATTTTCTATAATATTAAGGTTCAGAGATTCTATATTTTCATCATTAATACAATTTTTTTATAATCATAACTACTTACACTCGATTAGAATTTGTTATTTTATTTGTCAGTATAATGAAAGCTATTTCTAAACTTTTTCTTTTAACAGATTATCGCGTATAAGATCTGTTGTGTACGGGATAATTTAATGAAACACTCAGCCCCATAGCACTAGATGACGATATAGTATACTTTGGATTACTCATTTACACTTTTAGTTTCTAATGGTACATCGCTACGCGGAGAGAGCGAACCGTCGCGAAATCGTTTATACTATACAGGGTGGGGCAATAACTATGTCCACCTTGAATATCTCCATTATTTGTAATAATATTAAAAAATTTTATATACAAAACTTGCACAGTACAGAGGGGGACACATTGTGATATAAACATTTTTTGTGTGGGTGGATGCATAGAGGAGATTTCAAAGTCACCTTCATTTTTTTAAATGGAATCACCCTTTTTGAAACACCTACAATGATAGTCCCTTTCATTAGGAATTCAGTGACTATAATTATTCAAGGTCATTCAAGGTCACGGTCGGAGAAAATGTATAAAATTTAAAATATGAAAGCAGAATACCTGTATTTCATAAATGTTCAAAATAATGACCATTTACGTCGATACATTGCTGTAAACGGGCTCTGAAGGAATGTTGAACTCTGTACATCCGAGGTGATAGTCGCACATGCTGTGATGGTCTGCTGATGCATATCTTCAACTTTGTTGGAGCATTCGCGTATACGGTCTTTTTTAGCAGACCCCACAAAAAGAAATCCAGTGGATTTAAATCAGGCGAATGTGCTGGCCGTGAGACAGTACCACCTCGTCCAATCCATCGCACAGTGGTCCCAAATGCCGAAAAGTTGGCCAAAATATGAAGGAGTTTTTCAATTTAGCTAAAAATTTGTAGGTAGGGGTTATCGAGGTCGCTGATTACGAATCAAAAGTCATAATTTAAAAAAACAAAATGGCGGCTCCGATATAGCTCACACATATGCGAAAGAAATGTCGGAATCACCTGAAATTTGATACATAGTTACTATCGAGGTTGCTGATTACGAATTAAAGGAAAAATGACAAATAAATAATCAATTGCATTTATTAAATGAAATGACTCCAAAACATCTTACGCCAATTACATATACATATACTGCTATGTTTCAAGGAGAATCATCGGAATCATATTCATTATCAGATATGTCGCTTTCTGTGATGGATTCTGTTATTAACATTGCCGGTTGAACTAATAAATTTAACGCCTTTTCACAGTGGTTCCAAATCCCATAAAGTTGGCCAAAAGAGTATCGAATTTTATTACTGATAGTTTATACGTTTAATTACAAGGGTAAAAACACGTCGGATTTCGGAGGTATGTGTATTCACCAAAAATGATTATAATTGAGCCCCGCAACCAAAAATAATTTTTTCAGAATGATTTGAAATTTTTTAATTTAATTTTTTAATAACTTTTTAATGAAGCCTCAGTGAAGAAATTGATACTCTTGATTTTCGTCTTATTTTGGCCTCTAGAATCTCCGATTAAAATTTTTCCCAGGGGTGGCCGAATACCCTGTATAAGTAAAAAATCTAAATGAAAACGAGAGGCAATACCGCACAAATGTTTTATGTCTGTCATAAAGTAAGGCAGGTATAAGGCACAATTTACAGCTTACAGCAGTGCCTTCATATTATTTGATTCTTAGTGCTTTTACATGGCAAATGTGAAAAAATGTTTTAGTTTGGAATTCTCAAATTTTATTAACTATTTTCGAAATAAATAATTTTTCATGTAAATAGTTTAATGCAGATTTATAGTCAATAATGAAGTAGATCAACTGGTTCATTGAAAAATATACAATATTTAATAATGAAAAATTATTTATGCATTAATTTAAAAATTTATTAAATCTAATAATAAGTCCACCCAAAATTATACATTATTTATTTTAAAAAATTTGTTGTATCTGCCACAGTTTCCAAGAAAAAACCGCGTGATTTCGTAACGCGGTCACCCTCCATTATAAAATAGGGTGGTACGACGTAACTTGCAAAAACTTGCAGCTAATGCTTGCAAATTCTGCAAGGTGAAAGTATCACATACAAGCCTGAAAAAAATGGCAGTGGGATCTTGAAGGATGAGCAACTTTTTGCCTACTTGTTTGCGATGCATGCATGAAATTTTACATTTTATTTTCAGTAATGAATGTACCGGTTTAAAAAATTAATGGATAACAATTTTTAATATGTTAGTACTCAGAAATGTTCTACTTACTTCCAGGAACAGCATCCATTTTGCAGAATTGAAATTGATGTCTTCTAAAAAAACTTATGTACTTTTCACTCTGTGGTACGAATTGACGCTTACGCTTTCGACAAACGACTGACTAACGAAGCCGAAGTTTGGATCGCAATTGCCATCCAGGTATAAAAATATGACTCATTTCATTTTCCCTACCCTAAAGAGACATCCTTAAACTGCCGATTCCAACAGGTAAAACCTCTATACCGAAAAATTATTTTTTGGGGTTTTGGCCACGATTTCACGATTTGGGACCACTGTGCATCGGTTTGGAAACCTAGAGTTCAAGGTTTTTCTCGCTACTCGTGCATAATGGGCTGGACAGCCATCGTGTTGGTACCACATATCATAACGGTTTTGTAGAGGAACATGTTTCAACAAAATTGACAGATCTTCTTGCAAAAATTGAGAATATGTTTGCCCTGTTATCGTTCCGGTAATGAAGTATGGTGCGATTACTTTATCGTTCAAAATACCACATCACACGTTTACGTTCCATTGTCTTTGGTGATCAACACTTCGAAGCCTGTGCGGATTATCAACAGACCAATAATGGACGTTCCGTAAACAAGACAAAAATTAATTCGACATTGAAGGACCTTAGTATATTTACTACAAGTCTCACTCGTGATAAACGTATTCTGCTTTCATATTTTGCATCTTATACATTTCTCCAACCGTGACATTGAATGACCTTGAATAATTATTGTCACTGAATTCCTAATGAAAGGGACTATCTTTGTAGGTGTTTCAAAAAGGGTTATCCCATTTAAAAAAATGAAGGTGACCTTGAAATCTTCTCTATGTATGCACCCATACGAAAAATGTTTATATCACAATGTGTCCCCCTCTGTAACGTGCAAGTTTTGTATATAAATTTTTTTACTATTATTACAAATAACGGAGATATTCAAGGTGGACATAGTTATTGCCCACCCCGGTATATATTATCTGCTCGTTGCTCTTTTCCTATGCTGTCGACACCGGCGACACACCTATCGCCTCCCGCAGAAATACAAAGGCTATAGCCGAATAAGGGGGTCAAATGTGCCCCCAAACCGAATGGAACGAGCCACGGGTCATTCGATAGCAAAAAAAAAATAACCCCTGTGTGCAAATTTTTAACTTGAAATCTCGACCGTGGGGGTAGTAATGGGGTGAAAACGAAAATCATGTTTTTGTACAATTTCTCTTGACCTATTGAGTAAAAAAATGTAAAAAAATTCAGAAACATTTCGGGTACCGGGGCACATACTTTGGGAGATTTTCAGATTTTTTGATTGAAGAACCAGGTAGTGAAAAATAAAAAACAGCAAAAAATGCCGAAAAATGCCGATTACGTATTGAAGGAGGCCCGGAACTACTTTTATACTTTTACAGTAAACAGGTATTACTATTACTATTATTCTCAATTTTTTTCAGATTTTTCATTTTGGTGCGCCGCAGTGAAAAAAAATAAAAACCGAGTTTTTCCTCATTTTCTGCGTATTAGAGTAACTTACACGTTGAATTTTTATGCATCCTTCAATATATAAGTGTTTTGTAGACTGTTTAATGTTTCTACACTAAGCAGAATTACATAACAATTGAAACAAATATAATAAAGCCAACCGTTGAGCGCAAGATATCCTAGAAAATCAACGATATTTTCAACGGCGTCGATGGCGCAGCGTTAGAGTGACCGACTGCTGAACCGCTGGAAGTTTTTTTACCGTAGGTTCGAGTCTCTCTTCTGGACTTAGTATTTTTTTTTCTTCATTATTTTTTTTTTCAAATTCTAACTATATAACAATGCTTTATATTTATTTATAAATGTTCTGAAAGCATTTTACAAATATTTTAACCTGAAATATGTATAAATATAGTTTTGGAGTGTTTTTTGCGTTTTTATTTTTTTTGTCAACCACGATTATTGTTTAACATCTCTTACACTGAAATTAATGTGAAATGTTAGTTTTCAAATCTCTTACCTTTGACTATTGTGAATGGATCGGAGCAGAAGATTGTATATTGGCTTACTATTACTTCTTCTCGCCCTTCGATCAAGCAGATCTTTCCTTCTTTTTCTCTTTCTGTGATAAATATGAATGTTTGCTGCGGCTTTAGTATCTAACGTAGACATGTAAGGGCCATTCCACGCCACATCTATTAACCCACTCTCTGCCAATGATACTTTTTTCTAATAAACTAATTAATAGATGTGGCGTGGAATGGCCCTTACATGTCTACGTTAGATACTGAAGCCGTAGCAAACATTCATATTTATCACAGAAAGAGAAAAAGAAGGAAAGATCTGCTTGATCGAAGGGCGAGAAGAAGTAATAGTAAGCCAAT